GAACTTTTTTTTTTCAGCTCATCTAAAAGTTAATTTCCCTATCAGAGTACATTATGTTTTATTCTTCTTTCCCTGTGTTGTTGAACTTTCAGGTTTTTTTTTACTCTTTGTTATTTCTTTACTTTTTTTTAAAAAAAAAAAGAATTTATTTATTTCTTCCGTGAATGAAAGAGGCAGAGGGAGAGACAGAGAGATCGACAGTATCCCCAGCAGGGTCCTGACACTGTGACCCACCCTTGTCCTTCAGCGTACCCTGGTCATAGGCATGCACAGGTGCCTGATGTACTCGGGGAGTTCTTCCAACTTGAACCAGGAACCTTCCTATGTGGGATTGCATTGCAGAGTGTCCAGTTTTACCACTGTGCCACTGTCTGGCCCTACTTTCTCTCTTGCTGTATATTTTATATACTATTTTTTTTACAGGTTAGATTGCTGAAGTGAGATTTCCCATTTGTTGACTATATTCATCCACCACTCCGCTGGTCTATCAGTGTACCCAGCCTTGCCAACACTTGGTCTTAATTTTTCACAATGTCTTGTGTAAATGTTAGTATCCTAGTATGGCTTTAACATTTATTTACTTTATAATTCTGTCTGCCATGTTTGCACGTACTTATTGCCTTTTTATGTTTTGTGTGACTTTCCTTGTTTCGATAGTCTTAGACACTCCTTTTTTTTAAACATAGGATCTTACTGTGCTTAATCCTTCTGCCTCAGTTTCCTGAGCAGATGGAGTGCCAAGAACTGCCATCATGGCCAGCTTCTTTGACACTTCCTATTGGATCTTTTTTTCCTTCAACATTTTGGACTATACTTCATATGTTGGGACAGCAATCCTTGCATGTTATATATTTTACATATATAAAACTGCTACATTTTGATCTTATTATGAATATGTTATTTTCATAAACATGTTCATTTTTAAGTAGTCTAATATATCTGTTGACTGATCATTATGTCTTCTGCCTTCTCTAAGAATGTAATTGTAGTTCAGTTATACACATTACTTAAATATCTTTGGACAGTATTATTATAGTTAGAGACTTAGGAAACAGTTGAACCGATTGTGTATTTAAACAGAGCCAAAAATGTGACATTTTGCTTTTGTATTTTCCATCGCCCTCTTTCCAACCCTCACCTTAATTAAGTACGTAGTTTTGCAAAGAATGATAGCTCAGATTTCTGAATAATAGATCCCTCTTTCCTTCTGACCTGAGTATTATTTTATTTTTGTATCTGTAATCAGACTATTCTTCAGCCATGTTCGCAAACATTCTTCTCTAACATTCCCTTCATCAAAATCCTATCCTTCCTTTAGGGACTGACACAATCCTTCTTCCCTTCCACCTCTGGGAAACCTTTGTAAAATGTACAGGTTGGCCAAGTTAGTAGTGATTAATGCAATCTGTAGGAAATGGTACATTTATTAAGAGAACTTTCTCTATAAGAAATCTAATTGTTCTGTTTCTTAAATGTGTGTGTGGGCAGCTCTATACTTAGCCATTAAAGAACAAGGGTTGTACTGCCTGGGCTCAAATTCTGGCTCTCCCTCTTACTAGCCTTGTAATCTCAGGCATGCTGCTTTACTTCTCTAGTAAACACCTTTATTTTAACTGAATCGTTAAATTGTACTTACTGTGTGCCTGCAATTTTCCAAGTGGTTCGTATATATTAACTCTTAATCCTCACAACAACTCTAAATTATCCTCATTTTACTTATGAAGAATGAGACTCATAAAGGTTACAACACTTCCCAAAGCTAGCAAGGGGAAGTTCGGAGGGGCGGGACAGTCTAATAGTAAGTGCCTAATAATGCTTCTTTTCTTATTCTTTTCTATTCCCTTGGTTCCTTTTCTTTCTCTTTTTATGACTTTTCACCTCTTCTCTCTCTTACTCTTCTTTCTTTTTCTGCTTTTTCTTCCTAATTCCTCTCTCCTTTCATCCCTTCTTTTTTCTCTCTTTCTCCATGTTTGCTTCTCCTGTATCTCATTTATTTTATTATTATCAGCACCTATGTACTTGGTGCTTTTGGAAAATACCAAGGTCAATTGAAGTCAGGCCCTGGTTCAGAAAACTTACCATCTAATAGGAGCTAAAAGATGTGTGCAGAAATTACTTAAAAATAAATAGGAATAGATTCCACGCTATTGACATTTTGGGGGCAAAAAAAATAGGCTTTGTGGAGAAATATCCTCCTTCACCAGTATCAGGAAAAGTCTTATGAAAGACAGTAGCTGTATTCTAACATAGCGTACTTGGTATAGTTTCTCAGTATTTCACCTCTCCCTTGATTATCATATGTGATTAGATTATTAGCTCATTAATTAATCTCAGACAATTTTGTCATTGGTGATTGACAAGTGTGGTAACAGTTAAAATGTAAATATCAAAGGAGCCTGGGTAGGCCATCTGTTGAGAGTTAGAATACCTTTTGGGTATTCATAAGTCAGTTCCCATAGACTGAGGATACCAAGAAGAAGGAGAATTACATACATATTGGTATGATATACGTCAACAGGAAGCAGAAACCTGATCAGTGGCTATACAACCACATCCCCGTAGTCAGTTGCTATGTGTACTCACTCCCCGAAGACTGATTTTTATTCTGAAAATAATCATCTTGTGTAAACTGTCATTGATGTCGTAACACTGCTCCTCCACATCTGTGAAGTGTTATTCCCAGTAAGTATGTCTTCAGAATGCCCAGATGCCATAGCAACAGGTGCCTCAGGATGAGCAAGACAGGCTTTTAATTGCAACGTTGAAAAGTACATTTCAGAAAGTTTCAAAAACTAATATAACATATGACGAAAAGTTGTAATTATTTTAGTCATCTCAGCATGAGTACCAGGTATATTGTTGGTATAGGTCTTCTTGGAAAATAAACATACTGGTTCAATTTAAAAGCGTATATGTTGCATTAGAGAAAATTATATTAAAAGTTAACCGAAGTTAGTTATCTTTCTGCTTTATAATTTTGTTTTCCTGTTAATATTTTATATGAAGCTACATGTGAGTTTAGATGATTGCTTTTTTTCATTATTCAGTATAAGATAAAAGGATATCTAATTCTCTTTCCAGTGATCTAGCCTAAGGGGACAGGCATTCAGCTGCTGTGTATATCCATTTTTATTTTTCATTTTTATTTATTGTCAAAATCAATATGCTATTTGGAAGTTACTAAATTGGTTCTAGAAATCAGAAAGGCTGGAATTTGGAGAGTAATATAAAGTAGTCTTAGTAGGAAGTCACCTGAGCCAGACAGCACTGAATCAGAGCCCTGGTTTCCATGGCAGCTTTACATGGTGGAGTGGATTGGATCGTGGTCATATAGTCAGGTGGACTTCATGACTTGGATTTCATTTTCTCTGAAAGGATAATAGACCTCTTGGAAGGATGATTTTCCTTTTTCAAAAAAGTTTTTCCATCCATGAGAAAGACAGAGAGAGAGAGAGAGAGAGAGCACACCCATGTCCTCGAGGGTCCTGATGATGCCCTCCACTCCCTGGGAGCCAGCCCCAGGCCACAGGCACACACATGCCTGGCAAACTCAGGGCCGTCTCTGGACTTGAACCAATAACCTTTTCACGTGGGTCAGCCTCGTAGCATGTCTCATTTTACTATTTCATGACTGTCTTTCCCTGCCATGGAGCGATTCCTTTTATTTCTTCCAGAACTAATGTTCTGTGGTCCATACGATCACTAATTTGCATGTATTTGATGGTAGGCAGAAGCATTTTACAGAATTTTTGAAAATTAGTGAATTTATCCAATAGGAATTTTTTTACAATAAAGAAAAAAGAACTAATAATCTGTTTTCTGTCCTAATAGTGATAAGACTTAGGTAAGTTTCCATTGATGAACTCAGGTGCTTAATTTAAGGTGCTTACTTAAATAAATGTGAAATGAAATTTTCAGTCGTAGTGTATGCAGGAAGATTTTGAGGAAGAAAGTTGATAGGAAGATGCTAAAATCAGGCTATGTGAATTAAAAACCTAGATACTTCCATTTACTTTCTAATTTTGCCTTTTTCTGAAATGAACTATAGTCTTTCGAATATGTTGATAAAGCAAATATTTGCAGAACGAATTGGTTAGTGACAAAAAATTGTTGGGTGCACCACATCCAAGATAGAATCAAAATGAACTTATACTTCAATTCCATTTCCAGATTTTTATTTATTTAGTTTTTTGGATTTGCTATAAGTCATGTGCACTTTCCAGAGACAGATGTGATGGGGGTGAGATATCAACTCAAACGGGGATGGCCATGCTGGAATTAATCTCTTCTTCTCCGGTCTCCTCTTGAGATTTCGGGTACACACATACACACACTCTTGGCATGATTTCCAAGCTGCAGGGTTCAGTAATCAAACTACACAGTCAGCCATGTAGGGTCCAGTGCCCTAACTTCTATGCCAACTGCTGGCTCTTCATGACCTTTTTGAAGTCCATTATTATTTATTAACTGTGACCCTTATAATATTTCACATCTATTGAAAAGGCACTTGTTTCTACAATGTTTCAATAGCACATCTGGAAAACATCTTTGCACTGACTTCTACTCAGCAGAGATACCAAATCCTCACAATCATTTGTTCTGTTTAAATCGGTTGAAAGTTCTAAACTCATGTGAAGGTACAATAATGTAAAAGTTCTAATATATAGAAGATAATATATGAAGATGACAAGCATCTGTGATAGGGGTTTGGATTAGCAAGTTTTAATTTTTATCTATTAGTTAAAAAATGTAAATACTGACTGACAGTATGACCAAATTGTGAAGAGGTTGGGTTCACGGAATTTGCCTCTATATTGAATCTCTCTATATTGAAACCAAGAATATATGTTATAAACATCCTGCTCACTCAGAAAATCGTCTTCGTGTTTCTTTTCCATTTTGTGTTCAGAGTTTTCTCTCTGGTCCTTATAATCACAGTTTTAAAGTTTCACAAATAAATAGACTGAACTGGTTGACTCACTTGAAACTATTTCTTTCAGCTTTTTGCCTGAATTCATCAATGGAGACTTTGATTCTATTAGACCTGAAGTCAGAGAGTACTACTCTGATAAGGTAAGCCATAAACACTTTTAACTCAAGACCCTCCTCATGGGGTTGCCTTCCTGTGTTCTTTCTGATTGTCATGGTGTGCAGGTAGGGACTGCAGAGATTATTGCTGAGTTGTTTTGATAGTTTTTGTTTTTCTAATCAGAGTAATTATAATACATGTTCAAAGTGGGTATCTAAAAGGTGACAATTGGGCACACAATCTTGAAAAAACTTATCACCATCAATAAGCATCAGCCAGCCCGGTAAGTAAATTAGCATATAATATATAGAGATTTATTTAATAATATACTATTGCCTATATCCTCACTAGTTATTAAAGTTTTCACAAATCATAATAATTTAATTTAATGACTTTATTTGAATTAACTCATTCCCACTGGATGAACATTTGTGCCCATGTTTTTTGTTTTGTAAACTTTACCAAACACATCTTTGTAAGTGATTTTTTATAAAAATGCATTTTTTGTGTTCCTAGAAATTTAGAGCTAAATTTTTTAGTTTAACATTTAGTTTACTTGAAGCTGTTATTACTCTATTCTAACTGAAACTATTCACTACTTAATATTAATTATAGCTTACAGTTTATTAAGGTATTCTTTTTGTCCCTGTTGTTATATAACCTTCTATACACTGTTGCCACTTAAGAACATATAAATGCTCTAACTGGGAATGATGGAAATCACATAAGAGTATATTAAATGAATAATTCAAGGCTTCACTGCCATTAGAAGACAACACAGAGTGGGACCAGCAGTTAACATAATGGCTATGTCGCTGGACTCCCATATAGTTGACCACAGTTCGAATCCTGGACCTGGTGGCTTAAAACTCATGCCGTGTGTGTGTGTGTGTGTGTGTGTGTGTGTGTGTGCGTGCCCAGGATCCCGAGACTCGCTTTCTGTCTCTCTGTCTCTCTCTGTTGTCTGGTGAGCGTATGCATCCTATAGCAAATACCTCTCCAAAAAAAAAAAAAAGACAACACAGAGTAGGTTTTTTTGTTTGTTTGTTTTTTTGTTTTTTTTGTTTTTTTTTATTTTTTTAATGATGATGAAGAGAGAGAGCGCACTTGAGAGAGGCTCTTACTGCACCAGGATCCTTTGCCTCAGCTTTGCATTATGAGTATTTCCTGGTGGAAATACATACCATGTTTTCAGGCCAGCCTTGGAATCAGAACCTGTGGTCAGCCATATGTCTTCCAGCGCTGCAGTTCTGTGTCCTACAGACTGTGCCACATAGGTGGGGCCCTTTGCAAAGTTTTAAAAATAAAATTATAGCATTGGTGTTTCCTCTAGCTTCTTTGTCTGTGTTATTCTAAATAGGCATTATATTTTTAAAAGAAACAGCAGGTATTAAAAAGCATAAAGGTTTGGATTCTTTAGAAGGCTTGGAGATAAATGAGATACATTCAGAAGGAAGGAGAGGAATCCTTTCTTACAAAGGAAGGGTGGAAGGAAGGGAAGAAGAAAGGAAAAGAAAAGAAAAGGAAAGGAAAAAAAAAAAAAAAAGAAGTAGAAGGCATACCTGATGTTACCAGGTGGGATAACGAAGGTACTGAGTTGCAAAGCACAGGCTATTATGATATGGAAATTCTGAGGTTGGCAGCGAGTGTAGCTCTCTGCACACTCCGACTGCCCACCAGCGATCAGACTTCCTTCACCAAATACAGACCGCTCCCAAGTCAGTGTTTGATATTCATGCTCAATTACTTTAACATTGGCATGTTCCTATTCATTCCCCGCAGTCTCACTTCTCATTAACTCCCTACCTCAACCTTGTTGGGATGGAAAGCCTGCCTCCGCCTTGCTTACTATGCAGAGTCTTCCAAATGCACAGATATTAATCACGTGTACAGGAGCAGAAGAAACAGCAGGAGAGGCAGGGACAAGTAGACTCAAAAACAAGTTGGAGATATGGTCAGATGTGACTCATCTGCCCATCTCTGCATCGCTGCTGGCTGGCTAGAATCAGAAGTGTAGGTCATTTCTGTCCAGAAGGAGAGAACAAGGGGAAACCACCTCCTTTTTATTTCTGGATGCAGTAAAATAGGGGTCAGGGATAAAGGAAAATTTCTATTTACTACTTCATGATGAATTTCTTTTGTATTTCCTACTTCACTTTTTATTTGAACTTTCAAAACCAGTTAATATTTGTTAAGGTTTTCCTTTAAATTAATATGTAGGTGAATCTATTAATACCTATTAATGAATCACATACTTCTAGGGTAGTATACTGTCAATACTATCTGGTTTTCAATGTATCAATGAGTATTTTTTTTAATTATTATTATTGACATGGGTTATGTACACTCACCAGTAAAAGAGGGAGGGAGAGAAGAAAGGAGAGAGAGAGACAGAGAAATAACATCAATGGAGTGTGATCATGCTGCAGTTCTTTTCCTTCCATTTCTTCATCCTGCCAGGGTTTTGGGGGATGCACGCATGTACACACACACACACACACACACACACACACACACACGTGCAGTTTTTTTTCAAGTCACCAAGACTGGAATTCAAACTCCGAGTCTGCCATGGGGGATCCAGCTTCCTTGCATGGGTCTTAGCTGCTATGCTACAGGGCTGGCCCTTTCAAGGAGTTCCGTTGAACCCACTGCTTTTGAAATTCTAGGGTTTGTTCCTAGAGGTCACAGATGATGTTTTTTGGTAAGTTAATGTGCCCTGTGGAGCACATAGTGAATGTTTGGCTGTAGTTCTAATAATCATGATAATTACAACAAGTTAACGCAACATTACACACAATTCCTGTAAGCCATTAATGATTTCCAACCTAAACTGTCTAAGCTGCTCTTTCACAAATGAAAAGACATTACCTCCAGTTTTGAAGCCCATCCCCCCATCCCCCGCCAACCACACCTGCTCTGGGTTTTCAGTGAAGCTGAAACTAGGGCTCTAGTGAAATAAAATAAAAGAGAAATGTAAAATACTATGTTTGTTAAAATTGTAAGATGGATTGAGTGACTGGCATTGAGTCATGAAGTGTCACACTTTGCAAATGGTCTACAAACCATACTTTACTCTTATCTGGTCTTGCTTTCAAGGGAGTGGTAAAAGCTGTTTCCTCTTCTGGCTGTTTGTCTTGGTTCTTTCCTGCCTGGTTCACTAATATTAACTCAGAATCAGGAAAGCCTCTTGTAGATTTCCCCCTTGATATTTTATTTTGTTTAATTTTTCTGGGTCAGTCAATGCTGCTTTGAATCAAGGCCAAAATGATCTATTTCAGTCTTCTTAATTACACATTCCATTTATCAAGCCATGTGTAATTTTGTTTCCGCAGGATTTTAAAGGAAATTACGCTATTTCATGATTTTCACTTCTGATTCTCTTTCACTGTTGTATAGTCTGTGTCATCGGAAATGGAGGTAGGAAAGAGAGTTTAAAAGCACGCTTCCTAATTATTCAAAAAGTTAAGGAACCTAGATGCAGTATGTAGCTTATGCTTTTAAAAGTTACCAAATAACAAGGGTTTTCTTATAAATGTAGATGTATTAGGAGATAAAAGTAATAATTTAAAGTATAATAAAAAAAAATCAAGTGATTTTCTTTAGCCCAATTTTTTGTTAAGGAAACTGAATCTCAGACAACTTTAGTGACTTGAGCCAAATGGTAGAACTAATCAGACAGCCCTTAGCTCAATATCCACATTTTTAATAACAAGAATTATGTTAAATCTGGCTCTCAGTTGCTGCTACTACTACTCAATCATTGCCTTTGGCCAGTTGGGAAGATAGGAGTTCTTTACATGAAGTACTTAGCATCGCTGGGGATGAATGCCATTATCACTGTGAAAGTGATAACCAAACAATTAACCTTCATGTTTCCAGCATGTCCACACTGCTCAGTTCCAGGATATGCAAAGACCAAGAATGATCAAAAGCTAAGAGACTGAAAAATTATTATATCACCCTAAGATGTATGTACAGAAAATAGATTAAACAAAGACAGAAGGTTGAAAAACCAAGGTGACTTGCTAATAGAAAATTAACAAGGCCACAGATAACCTTTAAATATAAGAATGTCTTTTTGTGCACTACTAGGGAGTATTTTGGCATTTTATAAAGTATCGTGGCTTAGCCTAGATGATACAGTCCACAGTACTAGACAGCAATGCTGCAAGTCACTTGGCCAATAGTGGGTTAGGATCCCCATCCTGGTCATTGTGAAATATCTTGGGTCCACACTCATGTCCAAGATCCTTATGAGCTGGGATGCGGGGGTGGGGGGCAGGGGGAGAGATAGGTAGAGTGATAAAACCCCGTCAAGGGTACTTTTCTCTCTGTTTCCCTCATGTTCTTTATCATAAGTAGATAGGTAGTTAGCGAGCTAGATGGATGGATGAAAAGAAAGTGCTGTGATTGACAGAGAGCCATGTTATAAACAGCGTGCTGAAAACAATCCTAGTCATAAATCAGGAAAAGGACTCTGGGTCTAAGGCCTGATTTTCTCTTCTCTCTTTTTCCTCTAAGTTCTGAAAGAATATAGTATGATATCAAAACAGTGATCAGGAATGCTGGAACACAGTCTCCAAAGACCCTTGTAGAATTCCACTTACAAAAACAAGAGTTGATTAAAAAGATACAATAAGCCCTAGTATGAATGAATGGTGAATGAGACCAGCAGAAAAGTTCAGCTAATGCTAAACCAACAACTCTCTATTGCACACATAACAAGATTATTCTAGGCAACCAGGTAGTTTTGACAGTTTAAATTAGGAGAGTGAAGGGGCCAGCAGGTGGCATGGTGGTTAAGACACTGAACTCCTACATGGCCAAAAATGTTTTGAGCCCCAGACCCAACAGCTTGAAAATCACACTGTACCCAAAATTCCCAGAGGAGAAAGGATCACAGTGTGACCAATCCCTCCGGGGGATGATTTTTCACTTTCTCTGATTTTTCACTTTCCCTCTCTCTCTGTTAAGCACACTCACCCTATGGCAAAAACCTAAAAATAAATAAATAACTAGAGGAGTGGAGACAGTTTCAGGC